AAGAGATGCGTGGATAATAAGAAAGAGCGAAGGAAACGTATCCAGCGCGCGGAGCCAGTGATGAAGCGAGGGAACGACCACGGGGAACGAAAAGTAGCAGGGACAACGGCGCAAAAAGAGAGGGAGGAGGAGAGCCAGGACGAGGCGGAGCGCTCCCCAGACCAGCGAAACGCGCGCGGCGCGCTCACTCCCGAGCTGCTGTCGGCTCAGCGCCAGACCAGACGCCGATCGATACTTGCCGGTGCCGTCGACCCCGAGGGAGCGCGAGGGCGAGCAAACACTAGCGGAGGTGAGGAGGAAAGCAGCGCTCCCCAAGAGAGGGCGGCAGCGCCACACAGGAAGAGCGCGCTGCTGGAAAGGCCGCCTTCCAGGCGACGACCAGGGAGTACGGACGAACACTCTTCGCTTGGCGCGAGAGAAAATCGCCCGGCAGGGAATAAAAAGAAACGGGCAGCCGCACTCGGTGTGCCGCCGCTTCGGGCAGTGACGTGACGCCCAGGAAGCGGGAAAGCCTGACAAACCTGGCCCCTGAGGCGGTCACTGCACGGCCAACAACCTCGCCGTTTCGCTGCCATTGTTGCGATATCGCGCGCAGAGCCAAAGAAAGACTTTACACCGCTGCCATTACACAACACGCGCGCGCGCAAGAGGCGGAAGCGCGTAACCATGCAGTACCTGGCCTCCGGTTTGCGACACCGCGGTTACGTGCGCCGGCTCTTCCTTTTATAATCTTTTAATAAACCGCACGCGGAGCGTAAATGGCAGCGCCGTTGTGTAAGGGAAACAAATAAGGCTTGCCGAATAGGTATGAGCCCAATTTAAAATGCTCTCCTGTCCGGCTGCTAATTGAAAAAGAACGGTCGTGTCGAACACACACACACATAAAAGACATGTCCGGACTAACATTCAGAACACATAATTGCTTCTAATTTGAGCGCGTCATCACCCTGTAACTGTGCTGCCCATATTTTGACGGCTTTCAGATGCACTTTCATGACACCGGCGTATTATTAATAACTCGCACACTCAGAGCCAACATAGCCTTTGGTATTACAAGTGTTTGCAGCTTGGGCTAGTAGGTATGGCATGACGATAGTTATAGCGCGAAAACAAAACGACGACACAGAGACAAGAAAGTGTCCTTCGTATCCTTGTCTCCGTGTCGTCGTTTTGTTCTCGCGCTATAACTATCGTTATCGTATTTACAGGTCATAGCGACACAACCTGGTGGTCTCAATAAAATGCAGTTACTGTTTGCTATGGCTAAAGCTCTTGAGTAGCATTGCATTAAGTGAGCCCAATACAAGCGAGGTGTCGCTAGAGCTAATCACATGATGGGACAACATTGGCGCGCATTTTAACCAATAACCTAATCATAACAAAGAAATGTGGCTAAGAACAACAAAAAAAAAGCGCGTCCGGGGGTGCTTTTAACGGAGCCGAAACGTTCAGAACAGCACACACTCAAAAAAAACTTTAGGTACAAGGGGTATGGAACAAGACTTGCAGAGGAGGGATTCCGCGAAGCGCCGAAAATGGCTAAAAACAGAAGAAAACAAAAACTGCGTCCGGAGGTGGGAGGCGCAACATTTTGGCAGCTGCGGCGGGGGCAAGAACCTGCGAGCAAAAACCTGAAGAGGAGAAAAGCCGTCGTCGTCCAGAGGGGAGGGGGGGTCGGAAGGAGAGCGCCAGTTCCCAAAAAAGGTGCACGACCAGCGGAGTGTCAAGGTCATGAAACGTTCCTCCCGGGCCGCCTCGGGGGCAACTGCGGCCGCGGGGCAGCAGCAGAAGAATCCGCGCTCCTTGCCCATGTTGCTCGAGTTCCAGAGATCGAGGCCTGCTCCGCAGAAGCAGCCGCCGACGATTGCGGAGAGCGACAAAAGGGGCCCTGCCGAAGGGAGCACTGCGAGGACGAGGAGGGTGTGAGTGCGAAGAAGGAGTGACGGCCGCTCTCCTCTGCACTCGCAACGATAACGGGCCTGCCCTGCTGTTGCGTTGAGGAGGAAAACGCTCCTGCAGTCAATGCTCTCAACTGGCAGTCCGTCTGCGACGCAGCCAACACCGCCTGCTGTTATCTTGGTTGGGCACTAAGGAGGAAAAGGTCTATATTTTGGCCCAGCTGACAAGCTTTTAAGCCTTGAAGATCAGCGAAGTCAGGTGAAAAGGGGGGCTTTCACGGCATCCTGGACTATGACGACGCCCACATTGGATGACTGTGCCGTTGGCTCGATCTTTCGAACAAATTTAGTTTAATCCCTCTCATCGTATTGACAAATTACCTTTTCACGATAACAATGGTCCCAGTCTTGCACAAAAAAAAAAAAGAATGCCCAAAAGTTATATGAACACAGCTGGCGATGCCCACTTGGGGCTCCCGAGCCAACGTACCATGACGTCACAGATCAGGACAGCACCTGAAGGCCAACATAATTATTCAGTAGTACAAAATAGTTACACAGCTAAAGGGGCCAGAGATTTAAAGGCAAAGTTCAGGAAAGCTCGAGTCGATGCGGTCGAAATACGAGAGAGAAATTCTCGATGTCGCTGACATTCAGGCGATGAAGCTTAAGCGCGAAAGTGAACTCTGACCTTCGTTTTCTTACCCAACGCCACAATGCCTGCGCTGCAATCGCACGAGATTAACTTTACATAACGTGTTACTGGCCCCGCAATTCCAATCTTCAAGGCATCGAATCATGCAAGGAATCCAAGGCACAATGAGAACCCACGTCCTGCTCACGCAAGGTCAGCCCTGTCATAAATGGCTCACAGACCAGAAGCGAGAACGTTACATCGGCCAACGCAAGACCCGGAACTCCGAAGGACACCGTTAACACGGCCTTACCCTCGTATTCTAATAATGAACCAAGAGTGGTGAAATTAACGACGGCAATTGGATTCTCAAGGAGCAAGTCGCTTCGTTCGTTCAGAAGGGCCACGGTTCCATGACTGCCGCACGCAGTTACGGCCCCTTCGCACATCTGACACAATCCTTACGACAAAGCCACTTTTCGTCAATGGCAAGCTCACTACAGACTAAAGCTATCAGGATTAACGTGCAGGCACAACTTGAACGGGGAGAGGTGTTACCAGAACACGTAGTGTGTGTAGACGAGCACCTGTGGAGAAGGTTAGTTTGGTCTGCAATAATTTTTCAGGGATTGTTGGAAACCTCCCGGGTGGGCATAAATCCCCGACAGTGCGATGCGGTTGAAAGTGACTTTAGAGTTGTGGACTATGAGAACGCATACCAAAGTACCATTCGTGCAACAGCACGTGCCGCTCGCCCGAAGCCACACCCGAAGAGCCTGCTGCTGCAGACTACAATGTGTTGACAGTCTACGTGCTTACCGAAGCGGCCCGACCTTGTTATATTTAGACGCCATTTGCTACAAGTCACGCTACAAACCACAAAACAAGTAACGAATATCGTGTGTTTGCGCACAGGAACAAGATAAGAAGCAAATACCCCTAAATCAAAAATGTTACCACGAAAATGCGCGGAGCAGCATAGATGGGGCGTCACAATGACTGCAAACAATCGCGGCTATTTTCGAACGCGATATCAATGGCTGTATTGACAAGATTCGCTGCGGCTAAGCTGGTCGAACTCCTCTTCCTAGTTATCTGTCATTATCCAGAGCAGCGGGAAATCTTGTAGATAAGATTTGTTATGTGTTTAGCGCGTGGTTCATATCCATTCTAAAAATGAACAAAGTCAACATTCGACAGCCATCTACATGAACAGTTTGCAACCCAGCCACTTGCCTCGGAGGAGCCCACATACCCTTGCTTCTAGCTCAACCGAAACTGGACTGCCCACGCTGTCACACACCGTCTCGCGAATGGGTGCAAGACCGTTCACCTGACAGCAGCACGAAGCTGCAACGAAAATTCCATATGAATTTGAAACCGACAACAGTAATATCCATTCCCTTTTGTCTGCACATTTACACCGAATATGAAAACTTGGGCGCTATATTTGCGTCGAGGCCGTAGCTGCAATTCATGCGGACAGAGTTCCAACGTTCTACTCAGGGTAACAGATTCGTAGACCATTCGTACATTGACCGAAATACGAAACTTCACAGGGAAGTACGACAGTGACTTCCACTTTTTGAAAGCATCCTGAGCGCAGAAACAGATAAGAAGCAAGCAGGTTTCAGGTATCGTGCTTTCTGCTTCAAGTTTCCAGATTTCACACTTAAGTGGCAGTCTACAGATAATAGAGCGCGTTCCTCCGGCATCATACACAAGTCACTGGGATATATGAAGACGTCATGCAAGCCCTTTTCACGGTAGAGACATGTAAACAAAACCAGACAGGCAATGCTAAACTTCTCAGCGCGAATTCAGCACGAGACATAGCAGAAAATATGTGTTTGTTCTCCATGTCCTGTGCCGAATTTACACTCTGAAGTTCAGTGTTATGACACAACTAACGTAGCTACAAAATCTTATCGTCAGATCATGCTGCAATCAAAGAAAAGCACCATCACACTGCAGCTGCTAGTGACGGTTGCAACCCGGCTATTCGCACATGGTGAAGACACGCTTCCTTTCAACGACGTCTCGCGCTATCCAGGAGAAACGAAAAAAAAAAAATGCGCGAATAATTGTGGATGTTAAGAATAATGTCCACGCAGTGTGGGAAGGGGAAGTAGGAGCGTCGACCTCACACCTGAGACCAGCCAAGGTCACTGTTCCGTACAAGGTCACAATATCTTTGACCCGTGATCATGCCAGGTTAACGCGCGGCTGCCAGACGACTAGCCCCACGCGCCTGCCAAGGGGGGTGGTGGGAGAGAGCTGCACGGCTTGCTCCCACGGCCCACGCAACTTCGCGGGACTAGTCCGGGCAGGAGGACGCGTGGCCCGCGGCTGCGGACAAAGGGCCGTGACCGCCGCCGGAAGCGCCAGCAAGCTTTGCTCGGGGCACTCCGCCCCAAGCAGCGCAGCGATGCGACACGCGAAGTGTGGTTGGCGCGTTGAGCTCTTACCATGAGGTCCACTTCTGAGAGCATGTCCGCGTCCGCGGCCTGGTCGCACAGAACGCACATACAGGGGCCCACGTAAAGGAAGAGAGCGCGTCGTCGTCAGCACACGGTCGCGTGTGAGCTCGCGGCGGTGGGGTCGTCGCGTCACCAATCACCGCATCCGCGACGGGGCCTCCGGGCCCGGCGGTGGCGACACATCCTCGTCGGCACAAATGAGACGATCGTAGTACAGAGTGGGGGGCTTCGGTGACGGCAAGCGCGCTTCTACGGACACCACACACACACAGCCACGCGCCTCTCTCTTGAACAACAACGGTCCGGACAGCGACAGCCTTCCGCGCGGGCGTGCACCTTGAAGCGAACTACCCCGCGGCCGGTTTCAACTCCTGCCGAGCGGAGAGGGCCAAGCGCACCGCGCTATGGAAAGGGAGGGAAAGAGGGCTCGGCAACGCTCTGCGCAAACAGCAGCAAGCAAGCCAGTCCTCCTCTCTTCGCAGAGGTCGTTCCCTCTCGCCCCTCTTTCGCGAGACCGCTGCGCCCTCTAGCGAAAGCGTCCCTCAAAACACCGGGCCACGTGATGGGAAGTGACGTTCGTTTCTCTCTCTCCTTCAATCTCTCCACAAACTGGAGCACCCTGTTTTTTTTCAACCGACCAAAGAAAAACACCACCCGCGATTGAATTGTCCAAATACTCTTATCGTGCATAAAAAAGAAAGTCACTCCGCCTCGAAGTTTTCCCGTCACCGAAAAGGACCACCAAAAATTCTTCCGCAATCATCGCCACGGAGTTTCGTCGCACGCAGGGTAAACCGCGGTTGATGCGTACGACGCAATTCGTCCGCGTATCCTCGAGAACACCTGCGCACGCATCCCAAGTGTGGAACGTTTGCGTGTGGAACGTGACCAACGTTCAAATTTATTGCTCCCTTCAGCGAGAGGTTTTAGAACGGGTTACACGTGTTCCTTTGAGTACGTCCAAGTTGCGGCAAACGCGGATTATACAAAGCGATATGCTTTCGAAAACACATAAAGCGATATCACTGCGCATTCTTGTTCCTTTTCCTTCCAAAGCATGCGCAGTCAAAGCCTGATTACATCATCACGACCAGTGCCTCAAAAGGGCACAAATGTGATAGAACGAATCAGTTTAGACTGACAGACTTACTGTGACACCTAATAGCGTCGTCAATTTCACCACCATAAGGTCATTATTACAACAGAAAATTGAAATCAATGTTTTATTTTTAAACCTCGCACCCACGCCACTGCACGTGAGTCGCGGATTTCCGAACGTTTTATTCATACTTCGATCAACCCGAGTCAACTTTTTTTTCTGAAGTAATGTATCCTGAGCGTCTGACTCCCTCAAAGGACATATTTGCCAATCAGGAACTTCGTAGGTGCTATACTCATCACCGCCAAAATTCATGACGACACAGTGACTGGTGCAGGATGTTGAAGAAGCCGTCGCCACCAACATTTTAATTTCGCGCGTTGCCACACGCGCGCATCGAGGAACCCTAGTTATCGCGCTCACCGAGCGTCCTTTCCAGGCAAACGTAGTAATCTTACTATTGCCAAACAGTATCGTAGTAAAACGACAAAAACAATTTTGTAAGCCCATTTAAAAAGAATCATTGATATTTCAAGTCGCAGTTTCGTACTCGCAACAAAACAACACTATCTCGTTAGATGACGTCGTTTTTGGTGGTTTCACGACGCTACCTAGCTTAAACTAACATAACGTTTTCAGAACCGCTGCTCGAAACAACGGATTGGGCCGAGATGAATAAAGACATACGTTCGCACGATTGCAGTATCGACCGGCTGATAGCTGACGTCATATATGCAGATTAAATTTATCTAGATATAAATAGACGGAAGGTGTCCCGGCGTCGTGTTCTGCTAGGGAATGCATGTTATTGTGGACATAGTCAGATTCCGCAATGTCGAATTCGTCGCCATTTTGTGAGTCGTGATTGGCCCAGGTGCGCTGCTACGTGGCAGTTCTTGTTGGCTTACAAGTGACCACATTAGAGAAACAGAAGATGTATCACAATTTGACGTAGTACACAATAATAGATAGAGTCGAAGTATGAACAGTTTCTGGTCATGTGTAACGCAATGGCGGCTAACCAACGTTAATGTGGAAAGCTAGACAAAGTTGGTGCAGATTCGTGTTGTTAACGCCAGCGCCTACCCTGTTTTACACCCTCGTTGCCATTTAGGTAGTAGTTCAACGTCATGAAACTAACCTACAGCTGCTATAACTTTTTAATCGCAACGGCAACTACGATCCCTTCGGCGGAGTACGAAGCCCCCGAAACGTCCGTTAAGCAACCACACATCCTTCCTGTGTTACCTCGACAACATTTCGAGGGCACATCGGCGCTGACGCGTAAACAGCGAGCGGCGTAAGCAAAACGGTGCACGATTTCAATGATGCAATGTGATTTCGCGCGTTTATCCCCCCCCCCCCCTTCCCGCATGTTTTGCCCCACAGTCACTGCCGATCCTTCGCCCAAATTTGATTTCTCGCATCTAACCACTATTACACTCATTTTATGAAAACAGTGAATGGCAGAATATTTTCGAAATGCCAACAACTCTCGATGTAAATTATTATGCTGTCACAGTAAACTTCGCCATGGATACTTCCTCTCCCAGATGTCAACCTGTCCGGACTTTCAGAATATTAGCGGTTAACATTGTCACAGTAAGTTTAACTATCTACTACCTCAGGAAATAAAAATCTGCTTCGATATTAAGGGGGCTTCGCAGTGGCACGTGTTGTATGACGTGACGAAGAAACAGCGACTTGGGACGTAGTAGCAGCAGCTTCGTCATCTGCTGACAATCACGCACTTGAACAACGATAAGTGAATTGTAGTTCAGCGACTCTTATAGGGATTTCTGCGATATATAATGCATGCAGGACGCAGAGCTAGTTCACAGTGAGTTGTGTTGGTAAGATAATTATCATTGCGGTCGTGCTGGCGTGCAGATGCAAGGCGACAGAAACTTCAACAGAAAGTAAAAATATTTTACCTGGTGCGTGAAGAGCGCATACCAGGGAAACGAACAATGTCCCTTTTGCGATCCTTTATGATCGCATCCGTATTCCTTTAAATGTATTCTTAAGTGAAACAAGGGTTCAGTTTAGATTGATAAAATGTACTGAGAACTCCAATATAACGTTAATTTCACCACCATAGGTTTATTATTAGAGAAAATCAAGGTCGAAGTTTTCTTTTTTTTTTCAAAATTCGCGCCGAAGTCACAGAAATTCAAAGGGTACTTTTTAGATTTTGGCGACATTGGCTCCACGAAACTTCCTGAAACTTGGTACGTTCCCCTGAGAAGTCAATGTACTTTCAGCCCCACCGCGGTGGTCTAGTGGCTAAGGTACTCGGCTGCTCACCCGCAGGTCGCGGTATCGAATCCCAGCTGCGGCGGCTGCATTTCCGATGGAGGCGGAAATGCTGTAGGCCCGTGTGCTCAGATTCGGGTGCACGTTAAAGAACCCCAGGTGGTCGAAATTTCCGGAGCCCTCCACTACGGCGTCTCTCATGATCATATGGTGGTGGTTTTGGGACGTTAAAGCCCACATATCAATCAATCAATGTACTTTCAGTTTTGCTCGTTATAAGCTAAATAAGACCTATAGTAGAGGTCGTCAAAATATATGACTTCACGACGTTTGGTGCGGACACTTCACTATGGCGTCGCCGCCCGCATTCATATTTTACGCGCGTTTTCCTCGCTTACACAGCGTCTTTTCGCACGCAGGCGTCGTGATTTCGGAATCGTGAAAGTAATTTACGAATACAAAAATCATTCTTGCCTTTAGTGTCCCCCTATGGAAGTAGCCGCGTGCATTGCACTCGGCTTTCTGCGACAGCGCAACAGTGTATACCCGATAACGTCATCATACTGCCTCGGTTCACACGTGCGGTACACGTATGCGACAAATACGTGGAGAAAGAGAACGCACCAATACATGCTGCCGTTGAAGCGTCGACGTGTGGTCCCAACGCGGATGGTGATGGCTGCCATAGAGACGGGTCATGGCTGCCCAGAAACACCCGTTGACGGCGCCCGCCCGAGGCGTCGGCTACACCGTGCGCTCTTCGCCGGTTGAGAGTAGCCCGGCAACGTCGAGCGCAGGTGCACGCTTTCAGAAAAAATCGCTTCTCTCTTTTTTCCCCCTGTTGTCGCTTTTAAAGCACCACTCACGCAGACGCTCCGGTCACCTATAATGAATGCAAAACAAAAGACAAACGTTCGCAAGCTAAGACGGTAGTCTTCAGGCAGAAGTGGTTAACTGGGCCCAAACGGTCGTGGCAAAGCTTTTGGCCACCACCCTTCGAACCACCGGCAAATTAACTTTACCGACCTTGCTATGCCATCAATAAAGTTGTTTCTCTCTCGCAAGCTAACTTACTGCCGGTTGCCTCACAGATAGATGGTGCAGGCTAAATAACGCAATACAACGCTAAAAAACAACGCTATCTATGGCTACCTTGGTCACCTATAATCATATGCTCAACCTTTCACAGTGAAAAAAAAATTAATAATTAAGCATTTGCCGTATCGTAAACAATAACATAAACTCCTCCATCGCGTTCACATATAGCAGTTTGTTAGCACTAAGACACATGCTACACATGTTACACGGATCGCGATTGTGCCCCTGCATACACGAGATCAAAGTGCGCGTGCCATTGTCTCCATGTGCGCGAGCCAGAAACTGCATTGTGCGCCGATTACTAATCAAGGGCGACTAATCCCAAACAGACGTTCGCTATAGGAAACTACTTGCGCCGAATAAAGTGAGAATTGGTCGCACCCGCCTTCATTTCAGTAACGCAGTTATGAAATGCAACACTCCGGGCGTCATGCCCTCATGAAACACGGCGCCAGAGCTGACCCTGTTTCTACTCCCTTCCCTTTCCCACGCGTCTAAATAGACGATTAGCTCTAACCTTCCGTGCAAAGCGAGACCGACAGATAAATAGACAGCTGAGAGTAAAAGAAATACAAAAAAGTACAGTAGAGCTCCCACTACCAACACGTCTTACCTCTATGCACAAAGAAGTAGCTGAAGCGTTTGGGCAGCGGCGCACCAAAAACAGCGAGCCGTCGAAGTTTCCGGTACACAACAACAGCAACGTGCCGAGCGACGAGCGAAACGAACAATACGCAAAGGCACCGCACGATGACGCCTTCTTGTTTTCGCCGACGGCCGGCGAACGCGCGCACACGCCTTCTCGATGCGGCGTGGAGATTCCCGCGCTTTCCGTCGGGAGAAACAAGACAAGTAGTGCGCCTACCACAGGGCGCCGGAGTCGCGTTGTGTCCGC